TTTAAATTAACTTCAAAAATAGACACTAAACAACATCAACGTCGAAGATCTGTGAATACAGAAAAAAAAATTACCCTTTAATCAATCAAACAAAAAAGCATAAAATAAAAAGAAAGAAAGAGAGACACCGATCCAGGTGACGAGAACAAAACGTTTCAACTTCAATAATAAATTACAACAAATGAAAAACTAAGAAACGTAAGGCGATAATGACAAAAGCTGACCTTTTAAGTTTTAACAACGCGATTTCGAAATCAAAAACTAAAACCAATGGAGAAAGAGTGCCTAAATGGGGGATAATATAACAAGTTTTGAAAGCAACTTCCGACTTTAAAGATGCTTCTACCCAATTTTTTTCGCGTTTTACTGTTTGTCGAATTGGCTCTCTTTATTAACTTTCTCGATTATAATTGATATATAGGCTTCTGAAACATTGTCATATCATTTATCACATCATAATTGAAAATATTGTGAAGCCAAAAACGGAGCCGTTTTGGCTTAAGTCCATTGGAAGCCAAAACGGGGTCGTTTCATTTAAGACCATTACCGAAACTCAGCCGTCAGATCAAGACAGATCCAAGGGCTGAGAATTACTAATGCAGACATATATAAAGAAGAGCAAAAGTGATAAAACAGAAGAACGCGTTTTTGTTACTCAGGTATTAGGGTTTGCAAAAGAGGGAAAACACTAGGGTTGGGTTTTTGCAGAATCTTTCTGGGTGTAATCTGGGTTGATTGTGAGAGAGGGTTGCGTTTCCTTCTAGAGGCTGGTATTTGTCCTCTGTTTCTTGCAGATTATTGAGAGATTCTTGAGTGATTAGGCCTTGGTGGGTGTTAGTCTGTTTTTGGCAGATTTGTATTCTTGTCCTTCTTGTAATCGTTGAATATCTTCTTAGTATTGTGGGCGTCCGTATTTCGGAGCTCAACGTGGACGTAGTCTATCCAAGATTGGATAGACGAACCACGGTAAAATCGTGCCTTGTGTTGTTTGTGTGATTCTGTTTGATCTTTAATCTTGTGTGTGTTGTTTGTGTTGCGAATTAGCTTATTAGGCTTAGGTTATAACAATAATGTTTAGTGTTTACACACTGTTATCGGATGAGAATTTTTGGATAATACCATTTGAGATATATTTATTTTTTGTGATGGTAATATGACAATTGAAAAATTGAAAAAAAAAAAAAAAAATTGATGGGTGTGAACTGTGAAAGGAAAAAGGGGAGGGGGAGGAGGACCAACACTAGAAGAAATGAGAGAAGTGGCGCCAGTTTGAAAGGCTAATCAACTCGACGAACATTTTGGGCTCCATTGGTTTCTCATACTAAAAGTAACTGAACTAAAAAGAAAACATATCTGCGTTTGCCTTAGACATTTTCTGGGGAAAAGCTTTTTCATTTGACTGATAAGACTTCAACCGTCAGCTTGAAAGAAAGCATCTTCATAATTCTTTTAAAATAATTTTAGACTTAATTAATTAATTAATTAAATTTGACTTAAACACCACTTTATTAATATATATAAGAGTTCTAATTAATCACTGGATCATTTAATAATAGTTAAATTCGATCCACTTAAATTGTTAATGGAAGATTTACTCGGTTTATCAATTTCAAAAGATTAATTAAAATACGCATAAACTAATTTGAACACCTCAATCAACTAAAAAAAAAAAAAAAAAGAACTTACAACTCTTACTGTTAAGAAATAGGCTATTTCATTAATTATATCTACATTGGCCTGAGACATTTTCCGGGGAAAAGCTTTAAATTGGAAATATATTTTAGATGGAAGTATCATATTATTTTATTTGAAAAATTAAGAAAACTTACGAAAGCAAGATTTTTTTTTTTTTTTTTTTTTTTAAGTGAGCAAGATTAGATTAGAATAAAAGTTAAACAAAAATTCGCAAGATAAATAAAAATTAATAATACATTTAACTTTTGAAAAAAAAAAGTAATAGAACGTAATTTTGTATTTTCAATTATTAAACATGCTTTTCATTATAATATTTATATTATTAACTAATTTAAATTAAAGGATATATCAAGTGCCATTTATTATAAATACTTTTGATCATAACAAATAAGTATTTTCAAAACTTATTATATGAATTTAGTTATAACATACTATATTTGTATTGAAATTGTGATAAATTTTTAGTCACAATTTTATATTAATAAATCAATAAATTAGTTTTCATATTGATAACAAATCCTCTGAGTTAAAAACCAATTAAAAAAAAAAAAAAGTTCACAATTTACTTCAGAGTTAAGATCCCATGGCCACTAATCTAGTTAAATACTTAGTGTTTCCATCAATTAATTATACATATCTCCGATTAATTCAAAAAGGAAATCAAAGAGAACCCTCAACTTCGAGATCACTTTCAATTCACTATTACCAAATTTAAAATGACCGGAGAAGGTCTCACACACATAAAGATATTGTTTTTTTTTTTTTTTTTCAATTCACAATTATCAGGTACATAAATGTTTTTTAGTAAGACTTTTTAAAGGGTGGTGGCACTGTTGGTGATTGAGATGATTTTGTGGTAGGGATGGGCATAATACCCGTCCCCGTTGGGACCCATCCCGACCTACCCAAAACGAGGCGGAATTTCTTCAAATTATTTGGGATTTGAAATGGGCTCGGGCTGAAAATTGACCTCCGAATTCTGGAATGGGATTAGTTGTGCCCCACCCTGTTTATATATATAGTAAGTTTTAATTTTAACCATTTAATCCAATATTAATTTTAATAGTTGAAAATCAATTAATGAAGTTATACATTATACGATAACAAATTATAATTATGTGAATATTTTATGAAACATTATACAAATAGGTAATCAATAAAACTAGATTAAATCTAATGAATCATTATAAATATTTGTAATACATAATAAATATGTTATATATGTATAAAGTATCATTTGATATACATAATATATATGTTATTTATGTAAAATGTATCATTTGATATTTTGATTGATTATAATAAATGAATAAATAATTATAAAATTTTTTTGTCCCTCATTGAATCAATTCCATTACCTAATTGCCCTTGTTATATTATGGTAGTTATTTATCTAGAATTTATTATAATATATATATATAATGTATCATATGTAATACATTATGTATAATGTTATGTATTATTTATAATATTAATGAGACATTATACTGTATATGGTATAATTTATTTAGAATTTATTATAATATATTATTTATTATACATTATACATTATACATAATATGCTATTATCCGTAATCATAATATCATATATTTATATATTAATACTTGTTACTCAATATAATAATACATAATATTATACCATTAATATATAATATATTTACATATATGTATAATGTATCATAATTATAATTTTGATATTTTGATTCATTATAATAAATCATTATAATTTTTTTTAATCATTAGAAATTTTAAAAAAATTATAATGCAAAAACCCAAACAGGGATTTTGGGAATTCGGATTTGGGGATCGGGCCTAATTCGAGGATTTCCTGAATTCCCTGTTCAAGCTACACGCCGAGACTGGGGAATCCCCTTATATGTTACCGTGGACTTCCAAAACATTATGCTCATTGTTGTGGATATATTTTATGGCATACGTTATTATGGGTGCATATAGTTTATCTTACCAGTTGAGCTATGCTATAATTGCACTTTTATTGTAAGACATATTATATTGTGCATCTTTTTCACCATATTATAAAATTTTCAGTGATTCAGTGACGATTATAATTATATTTACGCTGTCACTATGTTACTTTTTCCAGGCTCTTGTTTCAGATCTTTTAGCAAATGTTGGTAAAGAAAAGACAGGCATTTCAATGTATTGTACGACAAAACATTTTAATGTATTGCACAGGAGGCATCCGCTGTGATTTATATTCTAATATCCTTAGGTAGTTCACTGTTTTCATTTTTCCTTGTCATTGTAATATCATGTTTGATGTTAAAGGTATTATATCAATCTGGATATACTTTTCAATTAGATTGATTCCTTCTGTTGCATAGAGCTCTTATAAGAGTTGTCAAAGAGGCACAAGTAGTTTTCTGTTTAAAGTTATTAATGGATACACAAGTAGATTGATTCCTTCTGTTGCATATAGCTCTTATAAGAGTCGTCAAAGAGGCACAAGTACGTAGTTTTCTCTTTAGATTATTAATGGATACACAGGAATATATTTAGTTTTAGTTTTCTACTGTATTGAGAAAACGAAGAATTATCTGCAGGGCTTATTCCAATTTAATTTGACAATATAGCACGACAAGCTTAATTTTCTTCCCTTTTACGAAGTGTTCACCAAGGGAGGTGTTTCTCACTATCTTAAGAATGAAGGTCCTGTAGAGTGGGTTGGGAATTTGTTTGTGTTTGATTCCCGTCTTTCTCTCCCACCTGGAACCTACAAGCTTGAAGCTATGGCTGAAGCAAACAAGACTGGACAAGTTTCTCGAAAACCCATTTGCTATGTGCTGCATATGTGATTCACAAATTTCTGAGTTAAGGCATTGAAAACTGTGCAAATCTTGATTGCAACCTACTCTTTCAGTAAGTCACTTTTCTCTCTTTCCTCTTTCTCCTGTAGTTTCTGTATTTTCATAACTGGGCTCTGAAGAGCCAGTTCATGGTAGATGCATAGGTCTCTGGAGTTTCACTTTTTTTCATGACCTTGATTGTGAGAACTGCAAATTTGTGATCAAATGAAGACCTATTGGGTTTATCTTGCTCACATCCCCTGAAACAAAATCCTGATTATGCTCTTTCAATATATCTCCTAGTATTTTTGTTGTTCTATCTCAATTTCGTCATTGGAGAACTGAAAATCCTTAAAAAAAAGGATTGTCACTGAACATCCACGGCACCCCACAGGAATATTCATTTATGAAGGCATGTGGTCCCATCATAATGAAAGCATAAAAAAATCTCGTGCGGTTGATTCCTTCCATGTGCACCTTGTCTCTGGATGCGATGGGTTACCTACTCAATGGAAGCAAAATTCTTATTCCATGTGCATCATAATGAAAATCCAGTGTAGGATCAAACCAAAGTGAATGTCTTTGTTCTCTGTTTCCACTTCCATTCACGTACACATTTGTTTGAACTAGATATGGTTCCCCGGAAACATTACCTAGAAACTCAAAGTCTAGCTCGTCGTGATTTGGCCCTTCCGATGACATCTGTGAATTTCAATAAACACATTATATTAAAAAAAAATTACAAACAAACATATCATAAACAGAAGTAATTAACTTACATAGAAGGTTGTGACAGTTCCTGCAGAATCACCTTCAACTAGTTTGATCTGCATACTTGCTTTCCCAAATAAGTACTTGCTTCTAGATTCAAACCCACAACCTGCAACCAATTATTCAGACTTCTCAGCAAAAAAAAATAGAAACAATAACGAATAAAAGTCGTTTAAATTATAGCTAAACCATACATTACCAAAAACAGTGTCTATGGATAAGTTAATGTATATATTTTATAGTAATCAATAATTTTGATCCCATTAAAATTTTTGTTGACCCCACTAAGATATTTCCATTTTTTATGATCTCAGGATTTGAGAATACCTTTTTTTTTTTTACATTTTCTTCTTCTTCAGTTTCTTTACTCTTCTCTTATACTTTCCTCTACCTTTGGTTGGATTAATAAAAAAAAAAAAAAAAACTGCTCCTTTAGAGGTCATAAGATAAGATAATGCCCATTTTTTGTTATTTTGTTTAAAAATCTCTTATTCTATCTTTCTTAATTGATAAAAGATTATGAGCTATGTTGCCTTAGTTTGTGTTTTATCATTTTATGTATGTAATTGACATAATTTTATGTCAAATGAGTAGAGTTTAGCTAAAGATAATTAATTATGCAACGCTTTCAAAATATGAAAAATTATCGAGAACAATTACATAATTGATAATTTGGTATGTATAACTTTTAGAATTAAATTTTAGATTACATTATTTTATTTTATACTTATTACTTCAATATATAAAAGTAAATTTATTGATTTAGATCTTTTACCCCACTTATTAGAAATCCTGGGTAAGCCGTTGGTTGTACATATATATTTTTCTCTGCAACTCTTTTTGTTTAGTTGCCCGGAAAATAGAAAGAACATTGATGGTTTTTGTTTTGTTTTTTATGTTTTTTGCACGACGCTTCATGGTTGACTTTCATTTGATTTGAATTTACAGTATCACCCTTGGTTTTGTTTTTATCGTGTTGTTGTTTGGTTTGTACAAAAATAGAAAGAAAAAGTGGGATTCGTCTTTTTAGTTGTAAGAAAACTTTTCTAGTAACATCTAATAATATTAAGAGAGCGGAATCATAAGCTTATAACTTTATAAATACAAGGGTTAATGTATAACTAGGGGTGAACAGTTTTGGATACCTTACATTTTTTAGGGGGGTCAAAACCTGAAATGCGAGTTTCAGTTCCTTATTCCGGTATGCTATAAAAAATCAATTACCCCCTCCCCCCCAAATAGTTTAAAAAATGACAAAAATACCTTAAAAGTTTACAAATACTCCCCTAACAAATTAAGAAAACCTACATTTAGTAGTTTTCAACTTTTGATCACTCATTCATTTATGTCTAATGTGACTCATAAATCCTCTAATCTATAGGAAACAATTGAATTCAATTAATTCATCACAATTCATGTAAAATTTCTCAATCAAAATAAAAACAAAAACAAGTTCCTCGCCTCAGGTTCTTTTCCCCGATTTCGATTCCAGTTCCAGAACCGATAGGAATAAAAAACAGAACCTACCTGCACAATGTCGATTCCAGGTAGATTTCGATTTCGGTTCCAATTCTACCCACAGGTTCCCATTCTACCCACTACCAGTACTCACCTCTATATATAACATAGGGATAAAAAGTTTTGGTAAAGCAATTATTTATGTTTCTACATCAAAATAGCTTAGAGTATGTAACATATTGTATTTAACCAAGTAAATATTATCATGCTTAGTTTAATTTATTGATAGACTCATATTTCCTATAAGTAATGCAATATTGTTACATTAACATTACCATTGACATCAATTAGGATCTAAAATTGGGATTTCAACTTTGTAATGATAGTGCCACTCTTTTAAAATATAGATTAACCTATGTATAGCTACCTTTAATTGTGTTGATTATAATTTGTGGAAGATAAGAATTAGTGTCTTAAACTAAGTCAAAAAAAAGTTTATGTAGTTCTATTTAGGATATTTACGCTGATTTCCCATGGATTTTCAATTTTGATTTCGAATTCTATATTGAATGAGGAGAAATGATTTTTAGCCCCATCAAATTTATTAGTTTCCCCAATTGCTAAATACTTATATTATATTTTTAAAATTTCTCTTTAAAACCCTATTTAATATCGAATATATCCTACTTAATTAGGTTTAATTAAGGTTTTGTTTGCATCTTTCTTTTTCCAAATTTCAAACTTAAATAGGGTTTTTGTTTACACAGTTTTCTCCAATTTTTTAATTAAGTTTTTTGTTTATTCCCTTTTTTTTTTTTTCCAATTTCCAATTTCAAATTTAGTTTTTCTTCTTTAGATTTAAAAATTGAAACAAATATATAAAATAGAGTATGAGCGTAGTCAAAAATTGTTTTGTAATTTTAAATAATTTTCCTTAAGATTGAAATTATTAAAATATATATATTTGAAAGTGGGGTACTAATTAATTTTTAGAATAATACTACACCAATAACCATCTCTCACAAACTTTCTCTCACAACCCTAACGTGACAGTTCCCAATTGGTCAATTCACAACATGTCTCACATGAGTCCCACTAATTAATTACCAGCTGACTAATTGTGAGCTGCCACGTTAGAATTGTGAAAGAAAGTTTGTAAGAAGGGGTTGTTGGTGTAGTATTATTCTAATTTTTAACAGGAACTAAAAATGACTTCTCTCGGATGAGGGTCAGTGAGGCCCAATGAGATTTGGATTCTGAGCTCTAATAAGGCCCAATCGGATCTTGATTTCCAAATTCTAGATAGGATGAAGTCCCAAAAAGGCCAATAAAATTTGATTAGTTGTAGGTGGATTCAAAAGACAGTGATGTTATAAATAGATCCCTTCATTTAATTTAAATTCGATTGGAATTTTAAATAAAAATTAACTTAAATTCTAAATGTTTACTTTAAATGTATAACTTTTTTTCTAAAAATATAAGAAATAAATTAAGAATAAATACTATCTCTATTTGGTAAATTTTCCCATAATTAAGTAACATATCCGCCTTCATAAATTACGCAAATTCTATTTTAATTAAACTAAACTAAGACAAATAATCTTTGGCTGCTATACCTGTTTTGGTAAATCTAAAGAGCTACTCTTGAATTAAGGCCCAAGGCCCAGCTTCTCAAGAACTGCTCTTGAATTAAGGCTCAAGGCCCAACTTCAATTTGAACCTGGGTAATCATCTGCCCATCTAGTAAAATGGGCCAATGAGGCTCCTAGCAGTTGATTAAATTGAATTGAATATCAGATAGGGTTCTTTGAATATCAACTATATATTATGCCATTTTATAGTTATTTGATATTATGTTATAAAGTTTTTTCATTTTAAAGCCGCCCAATTTTTTAATTGCAGGCGAAAAAACATACTAAATTTCAGTCTATAATCAAATTAATTATTATACCAATATAATTGAAAAATGTACTTATTAAAAAAGAAATATGAGAAAATTCTATCCCCTCCCCACACCAAACCACCATTGACCCATCGTGTCCCCCTGATATCTCCGCCCTTGAACTCATACTCCCTCCCCTTGAAAAACTAGCACCATCAACCCAAGTAATGAACCATGAGGTCCATGATCATTTCACCAGCACACAGACATTCACAGGGGTCAAGGAGCCTTATTGACCTCTTGCACTAGATCTCTCACATTCACTTGCCACTTAAGGTCGTCCCTGCAAAGATCAACCCGTTCGCTGATTATAAAGCATGTCTGTGTATCAGTCAATGGAATCACAGTCACACCAACCGCCTCTATACTAAATGGTTTTGATGTGTTACAATTTATGTGATGCAATGTATTGACCAGTAGAAAACCATAAGGTGTGTTGTTAGTGATCACTGCAACATCAAGCCAATTGTTATGATTAATACACAAATCTTTACTTCTAACAAACATAAAGACGTAACAAACCCTGATCAGGATCCTCAAAAACAATCACTAAAGCTATAATCACCCCAAGAGCAACCTCCAAAAAAATACAAAACCAAAAAACAAACACATAATGAAGTTCAAGAGCCAAGAACATATCATAGCCTACATAATTCAGAGCCAGTGAAATTTCACAAAGGCAGTAACCAAATGATGCAATATATATTACATGTACAGTGCAAATTCTAAAAATGGGCTTTTAGGTCTCTCATTGTAATGTTCTAAGAACAGAGAAAGTTCACATACTAAAGCTCCCTATGATATTCTTTTTTTATAGCAATAGGAGAATGTTCTCAGCTCCTATGTTCTTATTAATTGTATTCGTTCCATAATATTGATACACAAATTTATATTTCCATTCTATCATAGCAACATTCAACAATTGTATCAAAACTACAAACACTCCAACGGATAGCAGATCAATAAAACTAGCACCGGAAAATAATTGTCCGTTAATCCATGAAAGGAAATCAAAGAAAAATAGGAAGAGAGTAAATAAACATGGCTAAGAGACTCCTACTGAAGAATTAGAACATAGATTCTTAGGATTTCTACGCAACAGATTTGAGTGTTGGTTTCATGAATACTCCTATTCTTGTATGATTAGAGGTCAGTCCTTCGATCTGTAACAAGCTACAGATAGCGTCTCAAGTAATACAAATATAATCAATCCCCATTTTTTGTTATTAAATGTTTCCCTTTCCCATCACTTTCGCAGGTAAAGTATATTCAAAAAAAGTTATTAAATATTTCCACTAGGTTTCATTTAATAATTACTCCCTTCATTTCTATATAACTATCGTTTTAAGCTTCTGCACAGTTTTTAATGAATCAATTTTATCTCTCCTCAAATTGACTTTTTCCTCTGATATTGTAGGTGAGAAAATTTTGTTTTTCCCGCTACAAAAATATTGAAAGAGAGAGAGGAGATGAGGGACAGAGTAGAGAAAGGAGATGTGGGCGATGGAATAGATAGATAAAGAGAGAGAGAGAGAGAGAGAGAGAAGAGATGTGGGCCATACAAAAAAGTGGAGAGGGGAGATAAGGGGCAAAGTAGAGAATGGAGATGTGGGTCAGAGAAATATTGAAAGAGAAAAGACAATGTCATTTATTTTGAAAAAAGTTAATACCCTCGAAACGACTTTATAAAGAAACTGAGGGAGTATTATTTTCTATTAGTCTTTTATTAAGATTTTTATTGTTTGATTAATATGTATTATATTTGATAGTTGTTCCATTAAATAATTCATCAACGTCATCGTCTTCTCCAAATTCTTATCCTCAGCCAGTTGGCCACCTAACTTGTTTTCTTAGATCAAGCTCATGCAAAAATATATTGTCAATTAAATGTATTTAGTATCCCCATTATTAAATACATTTCTATTATATTTTTAAATTTACTCTTTAAAACCCTGTTTAATATCGAATATAGCCCAACTTAATTAAGTTTAATTAAGGTTTTTGTTTGCACCTTTTTTTTCTCAATTTCAAACTTAAATAGGGTTTTTGTTTGCACAATTTTCTCCAATTTTTTAATTAGATTTTTTGTTTATTGCTTTTTTTCCCAATTTCAAATTTCAAATTTAGTTTTTCTTTTTAGATTCAAATTTATCCCATTGTGTGTGTGTGTGTGTAACAATTTAAATCTTAATGAAAGTTTTTAACAATTACATAATAATTTTTAAATATAGTCATACTTTATTATATATATATTTATTTTAATTCTTAACCATTAATTCATAATCATAAACCCTAACAACTTTAAATCTTTTAAATTATTGAAACATTTTTTTTTTTTATTTCAAACATTTATTTGTTTGTGGGATTAATGGAAGACAGCTATCAAGAAGGAGCATCATATTTAAAGAAGGTGCAATCTGAGAAAAAGAAAGTCAACGAAAAAACAAATTATGTACCGATGATCTTCAAAGATAAAATCTGGGTGCTCTTTGATATCAAAAGATGTTATCGCCCACGAAATTCATCACTTCCTCCCTTTGACCATAAAATTCAACGGTCAAAATCAAACTAATTAGGGAAGTAATATATAATATCTAATACCCATGAGTCTTCTTGTAATTTTCTTAAACTCAAGGGAGGTAGAAATACTGAGCCCAGGAATTGAAAATCTTGTGGAAATCTCACGTTTCTATATTATTCCCAAATTACCCTTGAGCCCTATTGGGCCGACGCTAATGTTGTTTACTTGGACCCAACCACTTACTGGAATGATCATAAATTCACAATTACCCTTTTGGACATTTTTGCTAATGTTGTTTACCTCATCACTCCTACCACAAAAATGCCACCAAAACGTCAAAATTATCATGTTGAAATTGAGGAATTACGAAACCAAATAAGAGAATTACAAGAACAACTTTCAAGACAAAGAATCACATGAGATCAAGAGGATGAAATTGGCAATAGCTCCAACAGTGAAGGTGAGGGCACCAATCCATTTGGTGAAGACTCTTTATCTAGAGATGAATCTCCTAGGTTCTGTCCGAGGGAAAAAGGACTTTACAAATATGATGAAATGACCATATTATCCTTTTTTTCCCTATGTGTTTTAGAATTATATCCACGATCTAATTTGTATACTTCATCTCAATTTCATAAAATTTATTGTACATAAAACAGCCTTTTTAATTTCTTGAAAGTTATATAGAATCAAAAATCAAACCGTAAAAAAGTTTATGAAAAATTATACAACTCTAACTTAATTTGTCATTTTTTTATTACCGTTTAACTCTATTGGAAACTCTATTTATACGGATGTGGTAATCGCGCCAGCACAGAAAAAAGCTGTATTGAGCCAGCCTTTTCCTGGCACAGAAAAACACGCTAACAATAGCCTGACCAATCGTTGTTAGGGACAATATCCCCTTATGCCAACCCACTCATTGGTGTACGTACATTTCCTTGACATCGGCATTCAAATCCAGTGGTTTATAATTGAGAGGAAACCCAAAAAAGAAAAAGGAGGGGGGGGGGGGGGGGGGGGGGGGGGGCGCAAATGAAGAAAGTAAAAAACAAATACAAAAACTGAGAGCTTTCATAAAACAGTAGTTTTCGAAATCAACTTAGGTTAGATAAGATAACAGGGAAGTTTTAATTAACCATGATAGAAAGAAAGAAAGTAACCTTCACAGAGATATCTTGTTATAAAGGAGCTACAGCTGGAACGACAGAGAACGATCCCAGGTAGATGGATCATCGAAAAAATAAGTAGACATTGTGATAGCAGAGAGATAGCTAAACAGAAAGAAGCTATATCCATCGTTGAGATAATTGAGCTCACTTATCCTCTCCAGTATCCACAGGCTCATCCTTCTCAGTAGAGAACAAAAAGGAGCTGCAACTGGAACGATGGAGAACAATCCCAGGTAGATGGATCATCAACAAAATGAGTAGACGTTGTGATAGCAAAGAGATAGTTGAACAGAAGCAAGTTGTTTCCATCGTTAAGATAATTGAGCTCACTCATCCTCTCCACAGGCTCCTTCATCTGAGTAGAGAACATATCGAAAAGATGAGCAGCTACTGCTTTCTCTAAACTCAACTCAAAGATGTGAAGCATCATAATGTTGAGAAGGATACTCCCTTGGATAGTTGCCGATGTGAAAGATTCCACGCAAACCCATGGATTCGGAAAACACCAGGGCATTCGTATATGGTCTCTCAATTAATTCAAAATAAAACAAGTGCATTCTGGTAAGCCAGTCGCTGAAGTTATTGGATACACAAACAAATTAATTTCATTGGTTCATGTTAAAATATCACATATTGAGAGTTTTTAATTTGTACACGGGAGGACTTAGTCAATGGATGATTTAATTAATTAATAATAGAAGTTATTGAACTACTGACTTTGGAAATTTCGTGTTAGCAATAATGCAATATGTTAATACATTTTTCTGGATCATTTAATTGACACTCCTAGTTTACTGAAAGAACATGCTCACCGATAAGTTTCAAAACTAACATCTGTACCCCTATACTAGATTTCGTTAGAAAAAATGGTATTTGATTCAGAAATAGTGTTAAATCTAAAATGTACTCAATTCCAAAATCAAGGCAAAACCAAACCTCAGTCTTTGACACCCAAATAGGAGGATTTGAAACTTCAAAGAACATAATGAAGAAATCATCCATTGACTCTTTCACATCGGCAACTCTAACTTAATTTGTCATTTTTGTAATACTGTTTAACTCTATTGGAAACTCTATTTATACCGATGTGGTAATCGCGCCAGCACATAGAAAAGTTGTATTGAGCCAGCCTTTTCCTGGCACAGAAAAACATGCAACAATAGGCTGACCAATCGTTGTCAGGGACAATATTCCCTTATGCCAATCCACTCATTGGTGTACATTAATTTCCTTGACATCGGCGTTCAAAATCCACAATTTCATGTTAGCAATAATACAATATGTTAATACATTTTTCTGGATCATTTAATTGACACTCCTAGCTTATTGAAAGAACATGCTCACCGATAAGTTTCAAAACTAACATCTGCTCCTAGTTTTGAACGCTGATGTCAAGGAAATTAACGTACACCAATGAGTGGATTGGCATAAGGGGATATTATCCCTGACAACGATTGGTCAGCCTATTGTTGGCATGTTTTTCTATGCCAGGAAAAGGCTGGCTCAATACAGCTTTTCTCTATGCTGGCGCGATTACCACATTGGTATAAATAGAGTTTTCAATAGAGTTAAACAGTAATAAAAAAATGACAAATTAAGTTAGAGTTGCCGATGTGAAAGAGTCAATGGATGATTTCTTCATTATGTTCTTTGAAGTTTCAAATCCTCCTATTTGGGTGTCAAAGACTGAGGTTTGGTTTTGCCTTGATTTTGGAATTGAGTACATTTTAGATTTAACACTATTTCTCAGTCAAATACCATTTTTTCTAACGAAATCTAGTATAGGGGTACATATGTTAGTTTTGAAACTTATCGGTGAGCATGTTCTTTCAGTAAACTAGGAGTGTCAATTAAATCATCCAGAAAAATGTATTAGCATGTTCATTCAGTCTTTGACACCCAAATAGGAGGATTTGAAACTTCAAAGAACATAAATCAAGAAAAGTCGGGACTGATGTGTTCATGGCGGTAGGTTAATTGTGGCAACGTTGTGAGCCAGTCCTCACACACCCTAGCTTGTGGTGTTGGACACTCATGCGGGTTGCACAAGACCACGTCGCAGCAACGATCGACCCTACAGACTTCCTATACCATACAACATCTCTAGTACACCGGCCGATGCTTCATCGTGTTAGTTATACAAAGTGATCATGAAGACTTGTTTGATATTATACATCAAAGGGGGGATTAGTAATATATTTGCATCCAAAGGGGGACTTATGTTGTATTTACATACAAAAGGGAATTTTTTGATATTTTACAACCAAAATGAACTTGTCTGATATTTAACATATAAAAGGAGGCCTTGTGTACATTCTACATAAATGGTAAAATGGATGACTTGTTTGATAGTTTAGATCTACATGAGGACTTTTATGATATTGTATATTGAAAGGACAACTTATATAATATTTTAGATGTTATCGTGGAGTTCCAAAACATTATACTTATTGTTGTGGAAATATTTTATGGCATACGCTATTATGGGTGCATATGATATTTAGCATATGATTTCGCATTAATTCGATATTTTAACCAATATTTTTTTTTTTTTTTTTTGAGCCTTTCAAAAGAAATTTAACATCAATAATGCTACGGACACTGATGCTTTGCACCAAAATGTTAAACCAAATGGCATGTTACCTGAGTCAAACAAGTCACGTAGCACGTTAAGAAATACTTTATGATTGAGCGGCCGTCCATTTTTATTGGACAACCTTTCATTTGAAATGGACTCCCGTCCATATTATATGGATGGGAGTCCATTTACTATGAACGGGAGTCAGGATGTCTGTCCATAGTTTAAATTAAAAAAAAATTGATAACAAAAATCATGAACACCCATCCATATATTATAGACGGGCGTCCCTACTTAATGGACGGGCGTCCCTACTTAATGGACAGACGTCCCTATTAGTTAGACGCCCATCCATTGTTTAAATTAAAAACAAAAGTGATGGACGAGCGTCCTCTTAGATGGACGCCCGTCCATTTCCTTATTTAAAAGCACCTATTTCTTTACTTTATTTTTCATGGCACCTGGATTTTACTTTTTTTTCCATGACAGATGGTGGACCCCTTGACTCATTTGATGTATGCATGACACCTGTTTCTTTACTTTATTTTTTATTGCATATGCGGACCCCTTGACTGCATTGATGTATGCAGTTCAAGTGATGAACTTACTTAAGACACTTATACTAAGAACATTGTGGGAAAGAGGAGATTATGTTGTTGAGCAAAGTCCCCATTTAATGGACGGAAATGGACGGGCGTCCACCAAAGAAGGACGCCCGTCCATTACTTTTGTTTTTAATTTTTTTTTAATTTAAACAATGGACAGGCGTCCATCTAATAGGGATGCCCGCCCATTAAGTAGGGACGCCCGTCCATAATATATGGATAGGTGTTCATAATATATGAATGGGGGTCTATGATTTTTGTTATCAAATTTTTTTAATTTAAACTATGAATGGGCATCCTTATAGGTAGACTCCCGTCCAATAAAAATAGATGACTGTCCATATTTGATAGACGGTCGTCCATATTTTATGGACAACCATTTATTCGTAACATATTACTTGATGTGTTACGTGGCTCATCTAACTCAGGTGACACGTCGTTCGATTTAACATTTCGATGCAAAGTGTCGGTGTTTGTAGCATTATTGTTAACATAATTGATTAATTTCTTGTTGGCTCCAGGAGTAACTACAAATTACCAAATTCAAAGACAAACAATCAAGAATTATAAGCAGCTGAAAAATGATGAGAAAATATTATTGCGCTCTTCATTCTCACATATTATCACCACCAATCTTCTCAATTCCCACCAACCTTAACCCCTTCTTGAAGCAGCAACTGACCGCCCACTTCAGAGTTGCTTGCTATTCAACTTCCCTTACTCAATCCCAGCTTTCACAGCCACCCAGAGAGACAATCCCTAGCACCAATAAGAACAACAATAGGAGACACCGCGTAAAGAATTATAGTAATAATGATGATAATGGGGATTTCGTGATGGTAAATTTTTACAAGTTTGTGTTTGTTAAAGACCTCAACTAATCTCCTATGGTTTTATCTCTTAACACCATAGCTCAGATCAATGTGGTGCACCAACAAAGATTGGTAATATGACAATAATTAAACAATTAATCTAACCATCATAAGTTACAATCATTCCAGTGAACTAAAGTTTAGGATTACTTGATTTCAAACATGGTGGATTCACTTTCATTCCAACTTCCTTGGTTTATTTATTTATTTACTTTTTATAAGAGGCGATATAAAAATTGGTTGTTCATATGTTCAAAATGGATATATAAAATTTCACATATCAAAGACGACCAAAAACACGGAATTTTTTTTTTTTTTAATTTACCCAGAAATATCACAAAAGAATTTGTTTGATGTGAAATTGTTAGTTCATCATCATTATACATGACAAATACAGAGACTCTTGAAATCACTGTCAACAATTCAACAATTAAAATCATGTTTCTTATTACTAGTACATCCTACAACTTGAATTCCAAGTATCTCTAACAACTATCCAAAAGTACACACAAGAAAATGGTCAGAGTTAAACCTATATACCAAACCAAACTAATAGTTGTCCTCACAAGCAATCAAAATAGAGTTGAGTGTGCCTGTGGATAATGTCAATCCAACTTCAAATATTTCGTCAACTATATCAAGATAATATATATTAGTTTCATTGTAATTTTCTGCCAAATAAATAGCAGTAAGAATTCAAAAACTACATGATTACACAATTAGATTAAAAAATGAGATAGGGAAAACAATTTTTCAATAATCCACATGACATTATAATCCTAAAAAAATTATGTTCAAATTTTTTCATCTTTTTAGTCTTTTTTCCTTTAATTAGTGAGATTTCTCCTTCTACAAAGAAATTAGATTCATACCTTGTTTAAATCACACATATAAGCAATGAGCTTCTCATATAAGGCAGAAGAAGGTTTGATATCTAGATTGGCATGCAAGTCTCTAAACTTTGAAACAATATCGTTAACCTTCAATTTACAACAATATATGTAAAGAAAACAAAAATGAAAAACATGTAAATTGATCAGTTTTTAAGGCAATACTACTTATGCATAAAACAAATTTTATGACATGGATTTAATTGGACCCTGGCCCTGCACGCTCCTTGCACGCCAAGCACCTTGGCCCTATACACTCGACGTGTAGGGAGGATTCTCCCTTGAGCTCCCTATTAGAAGTTGATATCCTTTTTTCCAATATTTAGTGTTAATTCTTTTCCATCTTCATCAAATATATCAGTAGGTGCAGCTTCCCCCATTTCTATTGCTTTGTAGTCTGAGTCCAATTCAGCTTCAATAGTCTTCTTGTTTGCATGACTCATTTCAGCTTCAATATTTACTAAATTATGCAAACTCATACCATAAAGGGTCTGCAAACTCATACCAAAGAGAACAAGATGAACGAGAACATCAACTGTCCTCTCATTCTACCACGAAGAGAAAGCATA